CGGGTGGGAGAAGGAAGGTAAGGAAGGCAGCAGCTGGCTCCTTTCCACAGCGCAGGAAACCAATGTGTGCTCGTACAATCAGGAAAATCCCTGGCAGTCATCACAGAAAGGTTCCTCATCTGATCTGCAGCATCATGGCCTGGGAATAAAGGTATGCCATGGAAATGCAGAGCTAGATGAGAGCCAGGGCCAGGGAGAGCCCAAAAATCCTGGAAATCATGGCTGCAGAAGAACCCAAGGGCCCTCTGACATTGCTGGGGCGGACAGCATCAGGGCGATGCTCTCCTGCTGAGCTTTCTCCTTTCCGGCTCCAGGCACCCAGCTTGAACTGTGCCTCCTCAGCCAGCAGAGACTTTGTCCAGCTAGACGCCCTGAGCCCTGGGCGAAGGAAACAATGGGGCAGAGGAACGAGCCCACAGGCAGCTGAGGCGTGTGATGAACGGCAGGAGGGGACGCCGCGCTCTTGTGCTTATGTTAGGGTGTCGTCTCCCTTGGCACTGGAGCTGGCATCTCTCTGGCAGGCTGTTATTGACACGAGTGACGGCAGGTATGCGGCAGGTCGGCTTCACCTCCCTCCACAATGGAATAAAAGCTCATCCTCGTTCCTCACGGCTGATTCCTTACTGGTTGGCATTGTGTTTCACACCAATCCTATTAGTCCATGCCCTGCTGCCATTACAGTCCAGGTTCATCTTCGTGCCAGCAGCAAAGATTGGTCACAGGCTCCTTTTTGCGTCATGGCCAGAAAGAAAAGTGTTCAAGATGCTCAGCCACACGCTCAATCTGCCAGGGAGTGGCTGGTACCCAAGTCCAGCCCCGCAGCACTCACCTGGCACCAGCTGATGTGGCGTTCCCCTGGCCGGGCCCTTGGCCCTATTCCCGCCTGTCCTTCACAGCTCAAACACGTGTCCGCACACTCACATGCAAGATACTCTGCCCCAGCACCACACAACCAATTTTACTGAAATCCAGAAAGATTAGCACTGCTGTGTCTAACTAGCCAAGTAAATAATTTTCTGGGTACTCAACAGATGCTGTTGTAGGTGAGGGGCAACTAGATGAGCTGGCTGTGAGCTGAAGGTGATCAGATCAATATTGCATCAGTGCTGACCCCAGCAGCAGCCTTCCTGTGAGGAAGACAAGGGGTTTTTAGCTTCTCGTAAGAAGCTGCTATAGGGATAGGGACTGTACAAACCCCATTGTTTTACAAATAAGCTGTGGGCTCTGAAAGTCTTTTTAGCTTTTTAAATGCAGCAGGCACTAGGACCTGCCTGAAGCCTTTACGCCCAAGACGGTACAGAGGGAATAAATATAGCACAGCCCAGCTGGCTGCAGCACAGTGCAGCCCATATACATTGCCGGGGGGGAGCAACTGGAACCCCGATCCCCGCAGCGTGCCGCCGCACCGGGGCTGTGCCGCAGCTCAAATGTTGCACAGGAGGCAGCGATCTGGGAGCTCTGCAGTGGGGCGGTGGTGCTGGTGACACTGCGGCTTTGGCTGCCGATGCTCCAGCTCTGCCAGGTCACCACCTCGCTGCTCATCAGCAACGCCAGGGCAGCCTGCGACGAGGAGCTGCTCGCACGCGAGGGTGTCACCTTCTGTGTTAATGTCACCAGGCAGCAGCCATTCCCCAGCCTCCAACAGGTGCAGGGCATACGCATACCAGTGTTCGACGATCCGGCTGAAGACCTGTATCGGTATTTTGAACAGTGCAGTGATGCTATAGAAGAGGCTGTGAAGAGCGGTGGGAAGTGCTTAGTTTACTGTAAAAATGGCCGCAGCCGATCAGCTGCCATTTGCACTGCTTATCTGATGAGACACCGAAAGCTCACACTCAAGGATGCCTTTGAGGTATTGTACTTATACCCAGATTTATATTTAGACATCCTTTGGGTGAGAAATGCAATGCTTATTATGAATAATGATGATTTCTCAGAGAATTACTTTGGTGCTCTCCCCTGGTTATTAGCAGTTACGTAGATGTTCAACATTTGAATAAAAATTCCACCGTAAGTTTTTTCACGCCCAACTTGGACAAATAAGCTTTCAAGTTGAGGTTTCTGGGACAAATATAATTACAAATGCAAATAGGCTTTAAGCACTGGTAGCAAATATGCAAAGAAGTTGGTTGTTTTGTGAACATTCTCCCTATTGTTTGCTTAGTCATGATAAGTGAAGTTAAAGACAGAGAGATAAAGAAAATGAGTGAAATGGATGTGAGTGTGTGCAGAAGTTGTTTTGCAGGATTTGCTCTTATCACCTATGTGACAGCTCAACGCAGCAAAGAAACATCAACTGTTAGGCCTGCTAAATAGCTAGGGACTAGCTAGCTACGACTAATAGCATCTCAACTTTATTAGGAAGCCCATCCAATATATATGACTTGTGCTCTACAGTCTTTTAATCTTCAGCCATTTGGTAGGTACATCACTAAAGTCTCTAATTTAGACAACTGTTTTGCTCAGTACTAGACAGAGGCATGCAGACAGCCTGAAACTTGGTCACATATCTTAAACATGAGCAGTGTCACCACACTGTGTGAGAGACATTCACATTTCCAGAAAATTCAACAGCTCCTTTTCATGTCTTGCCCATGAGTCCATTCTGTAACAGGCACCACATGCCAAGAGGTCTTGGCAAGCACAGAGTGAGGTCAGCTCACCAAAATATCTGTTTATTATTCTGTAGCCAAATCAAAACCAAAGTAAATCTTCTCAAAAGTCTAATAGGAAAAAAATCCATTTGCATGATACCCACCCTTGCTTCTACGATGTCTTTCCTTTTTCCTAGACTGTGAAGACTGCCAGACCAGTAGCAGAACCCAATGCAGGATTTTGGTCTCAGCTGCAGAGATATGAAGAAGATTTGCAGATACCAAAGCAGTCTGATCTGCTGAGCAAAGGACTTCTTAAAAATAGCAATGTGTGAAGATGTTTTTAAAGAGTTAAGTGGCTTGCTACAGATTTAAAAAAAAAAATAAAAAATCACTGCATATATCACCTATACATAAAATGCCTTGCTCCCCAAACTGAGTTGATGGTTCATTAAATTCATTCAGAGTATTACCATTGAAGGTGCATGGAAAAGAGCAGATAAGCAAGGAGAAACAGCAGAAACAGAAAATGGTTGGATGACTGTAAACAAACCAGAGAAAGGCATGGTATCTTCAGCATTTATTTTCCTCTGAATGACACTGAATATGATAACAATGTATTGAACGAATGAATGAGTTACTACATAGGGATTTTACACTTGGTTTTTAATTAAACTTCCCAGTGACATCGCAAGAAGACCTGATGCCAGACCAAGGAAGTTCTTAATTTCTATCATCTCACCTACTGGCTCACAATTCACGTTCATGAGATGATACAACCTTTGGTGGGAAACCAACACTGGAATTGCTTGGTCTCTGCCCGAGTGAGTTCTGCGTTTGCCCTACATTCAACTAGACCAAAATACCATCACAAAATTACCTAAAAATCCAGAGGACGGAATATACAGATGATGGTAAGGAGTTCAGCTGCCACCATGCAAGTTAAGTAAGTGCCTTTCAGCTTTTGAAATTATTCTCCAAAATACCAACGGAATGATTTTAAAAACAACAGTTGATAGTGGAGGGAAGAAGATGACACTGGCAATCTAAAAGTAATCCTAACTCCTTTTAGCTTTGCTTATTAAGCATAACAAGACCTATCAGTGCCCAATTCATGCTTTAATATGTCAGTTTACAAGTCAGCTGTATCTGCTTGCAAGCAACATGGCTAAATCATTTCTGCTAAGACTGCTTGCAGGTTGCCCTGTGAAATTATCTATTGGGATATCAAGGAGGCTGCATGAAACTTCTAAATCAGACTACAATTATGTTTATCATCAGACATTAAAAGTAGAGAGAAACACCAAGGCTTTTGTCGAACTGTATTAATACTAATTTAAAAGGGACAAGTTATGAAACCTGTGAACCTGCAGTGTGAAATTCCATTCCACGTTGCTCAAAGCATCAATACAAAGTAAAGTTAGCTCATCGTCATTTGTCTAAGTGCTTACACAAGGCAAACATATGCTGCCAGCAGTGGAGTAGTTTAAAGCAGAAATTCTAATGATGGAACAATGATGGAGAATAAAGCCGCTGGGGAATTACATGAATTAAACAATTCAGATGCAGTAGAAGTTCCCAAAGTTAAAGATTGTTCAAAGTTAAAATAGGATTATTTTAAAAGCTGAAAACATAGAAATAAAAATAAAAAATTGGGGCTATCGTTTTCGTAGTTATCACAAGGCATTTTTGCACCAGATGCTTTCTCCACTCCCAGCTGTGTTTGGTTCATTCTGTATCATTTATCTTTGGTATTTGCATTACAACCAACAAGAAATTTGTTGCACATCTGCAGATTTGGAGGTGAGTGGTTGTTAGGAAATTTTTTGTAGCTTTTACAAATCTTGACTATCATACATAATATGAGTTTCAGTATGAGACTTCAAGCCCACAGTATATAGACTATATCCTTATTAATGGCCAGGATACCACTCATCAAAAAATCTGTTTCAGTCAGTCTGTGGAATAAAGTTTATTTCCTGTCAAAAGCTAAAGCTGCTAAACAAAAGTAGGAAGCTAAATATTAATGAAAACACAATACATATCTAATTGTGAGGCGTATTAACTTGCAGTCAGCTATAGCATATCAGTTCTGCATTTTTGAGTCAGCTGAAATAGAAACAGTTGCTCTTGATTGTCAGAACAGACCACACTCTATGGTTAAATTTTACCAGGCTTCTCAGCATGCAGAAAACCTTCATGCCACAGGATTTCACATCACAGCATTTACACTTGAAAAACATTCCCAGAAAACCATTTCTATTTACATCAAAAACCATACCTCTTCCTTGCACTGCTCCAAATTAAGACGAAAGATTGCAACTTGGAATCGGAACCCTGGAAGCAGTTGACTTCTTTATTTGAGTTCATAACCTACTAACATTACAAGTGATGTAAAAGGTAAGTTTAGACATACTCTTTGTTGCTTATGACTGTGTCAGCATTTTTGGTGTAAATGTGCTGCTGATGGCCTGCTGAATATGCATATTTGTTGCAACTGTAAATTAAGAAAAAAAAAAAGATACAAAATAATAGGTATTACACACACGTCCACAATTTCAGATACTTAGGAATTTACTCATTTAGGTCTGTATACAACCCACCAATAGCACATACTTTGCAAAGGTGCAGAAATTAGAGGGCTAGTGTTCTCATCAGTCTTGTAGCTAAGGGGAAAGAGATGGGCTCTTTGACAGGCAGCACAGCCATCTCTCTCATAACCAGAAACACACTCTGGAGTCCTAACTCATGTGTGCTCTTCCTCGAGGCATTTTAGTCAAGTCCCTAAAGCAGAAGAGACCCTAGACCTTAATGCCTTTGTGCAAGCTGCAGTTTTTAATACAGGAAATCAAGATGATAAGAAAGGAAAACAGAAGTATCATCAGCCAACCCCTTCAGCTGTCATGATTTTCAAGATATTTCAGGACATTTGGTACTTTGTATCAAAGTATGGTGAGCGAGATCTAAAGTCCAATGTAGCTGATGAAATATTACCATAAAACTTAAATGGCTTCAGATCAGGCAATGGAGTATCAGAGGAACACTCTCACTTATGTGTTTTGACATAACTTTCCTAACATTAAATACAGCAGCAGTGAGCATGCTTCTTCCTTCCATGTTATCATCCTCTCGAGCTTAGCCAGTACAGCCTCTAAGCCATTTGGGCTCTTCTGGGTAGACATGGACCGCTGCTATTTCTGACAATTTCATCCCTCTCCTTCAGAAAGGAACCTTCTGTATGTATGAATAATTTAGGATTGAAAAAAAAATCCAGGCAAGGTTAACTGCTGAGGCCAGAAATCTCAACTTTTCTGATTTGATGCACAACAAAACATTTCCATAAGGAACAAGAAAAAAATCATATGTGTCTAATGATCAGTTGGATATGCTTTGGGAAGGAAATGCCATTACACTTTCTGCAAATTAAATGGTGTTCGAATATTTTAATAGTAGTAAATATTGCAGAGAAACTTGATTATAATACACTATATTCTTTGATATACTTCTATTTTGGCAATAGGTAGTTTGCTCTTTCACTGCACATTTTCATCATGTAGATCTTAGAACCATCAGCAATATCCAGAATTACCAAATACTAGTTATAGGTGACCACTGATGGCAAAGTATCAACAAGTATACTATCTATCTGGGAAGTACAAGTATTTGGTACAGCTTGTCCTGCCATCACAAATCTGTGACATGCAATAGTATTGAATTAATAGGTACAATTTCTTGTTTGTACTTTATATGGCCACAGATTTATACCAGGGGGTGAAAGAGAGAGAGAGAACAGTATACAGATAGAAAATGGTATATAATTGACAGCTACTATTTCAACTGACAAATCCAAGATTACCTGTGATCCTGTTTTTTCTTCCCTTTGCATGAACAGGTCAGTAAGATCCCACCAAGCATATAAAGAACAGATCCAGCCCAGCCTAAGTACAGAGCATCTCCTAGCTCATACCTGAAACATGAAAGATTTTATAGAAACAGCATATACCAGGATCACAAAGCCATTATTTTAGACTGTGCATAAGGTGCACAAATCATGCAGACAAATTCTAGTCTGCGTAGATATCAGCTAACTGAAAGGTACTTCAACAGACAACGGAGGAGAACAGATCTGGCTTTGTGTCTGTTCAGTAAAACTCTTACATGTATATTTAACTGCTCTGCCAAATTAGTGACAGTACAGGAAGTAGTAAGCAACATAAAGATAAGTAGCAATAATACTTGCATATTTTTAATAAATTATTGATAATAAATGATAATAATATACCTTCTGTGCAGTCCACAACACAATGCCAGATCACCTACAAGTAGCTATTTGTATAAGGCTAGTTTTCAAACTTGCATATCCTAAAGAATATTTAGCACTCTGTGGTTATATGGCTGAAATACATTTAAGAATAGTCCCAGGTTGAAAAAGAATAGTTCCCCATTTTACTGTACAAAACTACACCTTTCAGGAACCTCCCTAGTCCAGTGCAAGAAATTCTCTGATAATGAATTTGACCCAAAGACTAGGCACAATTAAGCCTGGGAAAGTCTGGCAGGAGTTTCGCAAAAAGAGGAAAACAAGTTTTTATATTCGGACAAAGACTATAACCACAATATGGCTGTACCTCTGTGGTCTGACATACCTAATATAAGGGCAAAATAAGTGTCATGGACTGTGTAGAAAGTGTACTGAAACCAGATACGTGTGTTTTCTTTCCACTTGTAAACACAAAATCATTATTTAAAAGTGTCGAAGTTTCTGATTCCAGATTTAATTGCTAACAGGAAGGTTTCAGAGGTTTACACACATTCACTGCTCTCTGTGTTCCCATCGCACATTGGAGCCACAAGTTCTCCACTGTTTTAAGCGCTTTCCAAACACAGAACAAGGAGACAATCATTATCTCAAAAAACCAGGAGTGCAAGTTGCTGGAGGAATACTAAGGAACAATCAGGGAGTGTTGCCCAGGGCACGCAATCATCTCTGCTCACTAGTCACCTATAGACAGGAATGCTGTAGATGTCGTACCAAAGGAAAGTATATAGGAGGGATCTGCAGAACTTACTTAGGTTGCTTTCACAGCTGTATGAGAAATACCTCTAAGAATTAGTAGAGGTTAACCTTACTAATTTGCTGAAGTCAGGCCAAAAAAATGCAATCTGAAAAACCAGATTTGCCAGTCTCTTAAGAGTGACGATCAATACTGGCCTGCAATTGAATTTAAAGCTGTCTCAGAGAGTCCAAAGAGCACAAACTTCCTCAAGAGCATGTCTGGCTTTACCAATGATCAAAGTTAATTCACTAAGAACTGCTTAGTGAATCAATAGTCTTGAACATGAAGTTTAGATATTAAAAAAAGATTTCTTTAGCTACTGAATGCAGTCTGGTAACTGATTAACATGCACTGATGTTGAAGCCCCAAAGCTATACCAGATAACTATAAAACTCGCTAACTATCCCACTAACTGAAATTCCTTATCAACGGTTGTTTTGGTCCTCTAACGTATTTATTACCCTTCATATAATTCTCTCAAGGGGATATAAAACAACAAAAAGTATTCACAAGTGCAATTTCTTTGTAAGTGCTTGTTTGAAAACACAAGGAAAACTGAAAAACATCCAAAGCAATTGCTTAAAGTACTTTGATTCATAACAAAGCACTTCACCTCTGACTTCCCTGAACTGATTTGCAGGAGGAAACTTACAAAACACTTCAAATATGATCCTAGCAGCTAAAGATTTATAGTTTACTGATCTAAAAATTATATACTCAGTAGAAGTACTGGCAAATTATAAATGTCCCCCTTTCCCCAAACCAGCTCTCTCATGTTCCACAGGCAGTATATTATGTTTCCTTCTCCCTTTTTCCCCCTCTCTGAAGGAGAGGTCCAGTCACCTCCACCCTTGTTCCTCATTGCTAAATCTATTGACCTAGATCAGGCGCCATAAGCGGACATTTGGTTTTGAAGACTGTTGCTTTTATACCTCGAAACTTGTTTGTGCACAACTGTATGAGCTGACAGTCCCACAAACTTTGTCTCATTTTAATTCATAAGGCAAACAAATGTTGAGCTGTTAATATACAGTGAACAATATTGTTTCACTTAAGACAAGCAGCACACTTCAATGACATTTCTCAGCTATCTGCAGGTCACTAGTATGCAGTTCAAGCTGGTTTTTCATTTGCTTGAACATCTGAGGCATTATATTCTAGCCATAGCTAGAATTTTGTACTTCTTTTGGTCTAAATGCCAAAGAAAATTAAGACTTTTACCTTTTCTTCTTCATAAATTGCACTAAATTGAGTCTCACAAGAAAATGTAAACACAATACAGAAACCCCACAGATGTGGGGTTGGTATTCCCCACACATTTACTAAACCTCCCAGAAGAGAACTCTCCTCCCTGTCCCCAACATCTCTGAGGTGAAAAGATTCCCTGAAGACAAATTTTTCCTCCTGTATGACTAGATAACAGGATCCATCCAGGTTCTGAAACTCTGGAGCAGCTGAGGTTAGTGCAGCTGTCTGTAACACATGATGGAGTTTGGTGTGACAGATCTATTCACTTACTTGGTTCCAGCGTACAATGGGTCAAAAAATTGAGCAGTAACCATCGCAGCATACCAAGAAACAGCCACCATGGAGCAGAGACCTACCAGAAATTTTAAAAAGCACACAGGTGAATGATTCCTTTAATAGCTGTAACAGCTTTAAACCAAGAACAAGTGTTCATTTCATTTAATCTAGCTGTGAAAGCAATACAAAGTATTGATAGCATTCTCATTTCAGCCTTGATATTACCTCCTAAAATAAAAAGAAATCCTCCCGTGACAGCAAACTTCATTTTTCCGTCTTCATCGCTCAACCCAACATTTGTGCACTTCAAACCAAGCAGCGAGAGTACAGTAGCTATGAATCCCAAAAGGATGGAAGCAATCATCAAGGCACGGCATGCCTGAATATGAGCTAAGACAGAAAAAGAGAAAACAAATCAGGATCTGTAAAGAAATTATATTAATCTTGCGCTGAAAAAATAAAAGTGATAGAGGGAGTGACAAAATTAACAGGAGCAGTAATGAATGAATCTTGTCCAACTTTTTTATTTGGTTATTTGGAGAAGCATCCAAACCCTAGAGTGTTTAGTCTTCAAGTCAATCAGATTTCAGAGTTGAACTACACTTACACTTTATAAGCTCAGTAAATCCTCTTGGGCCTTTAGTAAATCCTTCATAGCCTCATAGCTTACATCTTTAAGTCCTGTGAAAATGCATATATATGGCCATTTACAGGAGCAGAAGTAAGTCTCCTACTCACAAGTCCTGGTGACTTCCTTACACCTATACAGCTGAGCACACAGGACACCTCTGAGCTCCAGGTCCTAGCCAAGGTGTGCGGGACTCTGGCACTACAGAGGAATTGGAAAAACATGCCAGCTTTGCTACCTCCAGTGAGAGATGGGAAAGAAAGTGCTCAAGTTTGCAGTGCACTTTAAACTCTGAGTCGGGGTAATGAATGGGAGATGAGCAGATCTGAGCACTGCAGCACTCCTCTCCTCCCTAAGGCATACTCCTGCGGAGAAGTTACAGCTGGTGTGGTCATGTTAGGGAATTTGGTATGCTGCATCACTTAAACTCCCAGTCTTCACATTTAGGTATCTATTGCACAAAAAGCTGGACCAGATTATTAACCAGCCTAAGAAGGAAGGTCAGACAGGGACTTCGGGCTTCTTTAAAATGGCACCCTAGATTTGGCAGGTTCCAGGTCAAAGGGCACTTTGGCACCTTTGTTGGGAGATAAACATGCCAAGTGTAACCAATCTGGCAGGTCTTGGCTGCTAACTTTGTTGAACTCAATGATCTTAAAAGGTCTTTTCCAACCTAAATGATTCTATGATTCTAACCACATATCAAAAGGGTCTGAACTGGACTGCATCTGGACAGTCATGTCATTGATGCTAGCATTCAAGCTCTTGCTCCCTGATCACCTCCATGTGCTCCATTGATAACCTGCTCTCTAGCTGTGTAGTGGAGTGAGCCCATAACTCTCCAGATATCAAAAATCAGGCACAGAAACAGGAGGCAAAGTGATGATACATTCACACTCAAACTCAGCAGACTGTATAGCTTTATGTGGCTTAAGAGTATTGGTTCTGCAAGCTTGAGAGTTATCAAAGACAGTAATAAGCAGTCATGAGATAAATACACAGAATTAAAGGATAACACTGTTCGAGGAATTAATGTTTTGTTAAGCACTAATTTTCAAATTTTTGGGGAAAAAAAATACAGACAGTAATAAAAGTGAAAAGACCCCTCAAAGTACCATTAACGGTTCAAGGTTTTTGCCTGCAGAAGATACCATTAGGACAAGCACTCAACTCCAACACTGCTTTCTAGTTTGGGAACTTACTTACACCATGGCGGCAGGAATTACCCATAGCAGGGATCCATCAACTTCTTACACTTCAGGTCTTTGGGACTCCTGCAATATCAGATGGGACTCCCCATATCCTTCCAGGACACACAAGCATATCCTCAGGCTAACTGCTTGCAAGTCAATGGCTGTATTATTTTAACAGAAGAGATTTCATACCATATCCTCTTTGTACCACAATATGATAACCTCAACAGCCTTAACTGAGGACCTTACTTCACAGTCCAGAAAGCTCAATTTCTTCTTGGTTTTATCTTAAAAATGAGCTTACTGAACAAGATACAAAGTCAGTTCATTTTATCAATCAATACTAGTTGTAAGAAATTATCCCCAAATCCTGTCACTGGAAGAAACACCTACAGTATCTTAAAAAGAAGAAAAAAAAAGAGTTTAAACACCATTGGGCAGCTAATTGCTTTATATCAAATGTTTGATCTAGTTGTGACAAGATAAATAGTGCTATCTATACATAGTAGCCAGTCACGGTTTCAATCTTAGGCAATATTGCTTTTAAAAAGGTCCTCACTTCAAACATTTGTGATTTGGGCTAATGGCTTGCTGAATTCAAAAGCTTTAAATCTGTTTAAAAGAACCAAGTCTGATATTTCCCATGCATAAAACAAAAAACAGAGGTATACTACATAGCTCAGCTGACAATAAGGAAACCTTCATAGAAAATCTTTATGGTCCTTCTGATGAGAGCTAACAAAGACACTTCTGTTTTTTCTTTTTTTTCCCCTCCCACCAATTCCTGGCATCTTCTGCTGCAGCAGTTTCAGTGAAGTTTCTAAACAGCAATTTGAAACACACCTAAACTGACCATGATAATTTTTCATCAGCCTTGGCTCATATCTGCAAGTGCTACAGACATTCTTGGAGGTCCCACTGTTTGCTCAGCCCTTGTTGCTACCATCCCCACTTTCTTCCTCTTTCCTGGTTTGCCCAACTGTCCTCTCAACTTTTTCTACAATTCAGTGTATTCTAACTTGTTTCTTTTTCAGTTCTCCTTTCTAAACCCTTTTTTTCTCTACAATTCTGCAAGCTGCTTTTCCCTTCCCCTTTCCTTTTCCTGCATATACCCCTCAAATACACTGGCATCTTCTCAACAGTGTAACTGATCTCCTCTTCAACAGATCAAATTTAATCTTCACAAATTCACTTTCAGAGCCTGGCCTATTCATTTCCTTTCTGTCTGGCCCCATTTTTTTCCTTCCTGCTGACTCCATGTTGTTATCTGCAATTCTGCAGGAGCCTTGCTATTGCTTGCCTTCCTTTCTCTTTTGCTTTAGCACATCTACTCATCATGCTCCCCGCTGCAATTTCTTTAAAACCCACTTTTTTCTCGGCAGCTCCAAGATACTGACCTGATGTGACCCCATTGCCCACATCTGCATGCATGGGAGCTCTATGACACTCTCAGAGGCAGCACCCCATGTAAATACACCAACAACAAGATGCTGCCTAGAGTCAGTGGCAGTAAGTTATGAACCAACCTTTAAAGCAGTTTATACATGAACCAAATGCACACTTGCATAAGCACTCTGCAGAGGATATGCAATGTCCAATGGACATGATCCTGCTATTGCTGAGTATAAGAAGTTTAAATAGGGTTGTGTTCCTCTTAATACACACATGCATTTTAAAACCAATTGTGAGATAACACTGAAAGATGAAAAGAACAGTTTATTCCCTAAATACTGGGCACAGACAGTTTCAAAGAATTGCTACACTAGTGTCAGAGCTAGTAAACAACATAGGTTTATTTCAGACACAGAGAAAGTGAATTTAATACCTCATTCCCACTAATCCTATATTACACTCTTCAGCTTAGGAGTATCCTCCTACCTATTTAGTTTAGCCACATCCCAGTGTAGATTCAACTAAGTAGGAAGGCATTTTTATTCTAGGATAAGTATCTACATACCGAATTACTCAAGATTAATAAAAACTAGCTTTACTGTCTATAAACATGTTTACTATCCACAGAATCTTGCCTTAGTTGAGCATTTGAGGACAATCCATAATTCTCCTGAAGACTGATATAAAGCACAGGAGCCAGCAGATCTAAATTTCCTAATATTTTGAACCACATCCAACAAGACATTAGTTAACAAGTCTTGACAAGTATATTAGTTTATAACATATTTTCATTCTATAATTTATATTCATAATATAAGGTTATAGTATGTATAACATATACTCATTATATTTTTTGCATTATCTATGATTTCCAGTCTCAACACACAGAAACCGCTACCACTTCTTAGCTATAAATAGTATTTCTTACCTATTATATGAAAAATCTCCAGCTATAATACATTAGCTATCAAGTATTGCAAAAGAAGACCTACACAATAATTCCAAATAAACATGGAACTGTTATAAGATGTGTTAAAAAATGTCTCCTACTAATTCCTTTCCCAAGATGCTAGAAAAGAGACTACACCATATACAAAATGCCTATTAAAATAAATGTTTGATCAAGCGACTTCATTTGCCTTATTTTGTAGCCTTTCCTAATGTGCTTGACACATTCTGCTGCTTAAGAGATTTTTATTACTTCAACCCGCAAAGTCCTTCTTGGCCAGTTATTTTCCAGTACTACCAGATTACCAAAACAAACACCTTTCTACTTTTTTCCAACAAATTTTCAAGCAATATAAACAAGACTGTGTAAAGTCACATACCAGGCAGTGCAAGCATAGAGTCAAATTCTCTGCAGTTGGATACTCCAGTGCTGTCTTCTGCACAGCTCCTCCACAGGTTTTCAAACAATGTAGACGTTGTGATCACACTACCATGTACAGTGGAGACTTTCCAGTAATTATTCGGCAAAGTAGCTCCAATAATCGCCCACCCAACCAAGCACAAAAGAAAACCAACAATTTCCAATGCAGCAGTCATGCTTGTGAGTAGTAACAGTTAAATATCCTTATAATTAGATTACAATCAAATGAAGCCTTTCAGAAGCCTTCTTGCTGTTTTATCTCTGGGTTTCACTCCAAAATGAGGCTACCTTTGCTCTTTGCTCAACCCCAGAGATAAAGCTTACAGTGCATGACTGTAAGAAGTGGGAGCAGTTCACGATAAAGACATTAACATTTCAAAAAAAAATACAATATTAATTTTTTCAAATGAGAAGTAACAAAATGAACCTATTCTTAGTCTCAGCCTAGAAAATTCAGTCATTATGTCTAAAAAATATCTTGTAAGAGTGATAATATTGGCAAATATTTTATTTCTGTCTCTCCTCTGAAGTCAACTAGGGTTTACAGAAGATTAAAATTGTTTGTAATTTTATTATTGACCTCAAATAAAAAAATTTACTGTGTTATTTTCTTGGTGATTCAAGCACAAAAAAGCTTGAGAACAGGAACTTTATTCTGTTGCTAGAAAATTTATCACATTTTTTGGAGTTACGGTCATAAGTAATCCACAGCAACTGTACTGCCAGCTTCTTTCAGGAAGGTTAAGTCTGTGGATGAGTGGTTTCCATCAATATTTTACAGTCTACTGATCTATAGTTAAACACATTCTGTTTTAAAAATAGTCTCACTTACACTGGAATACAATTGTAATAACGTATGTTTCACAGAAATGAAATATAAGGGCATGAATGAGCCAGTGTGACAGACCTATCTCAAAAGGAATAAAACTATGAATGAAAACAGCTATATGAAAAATAATACATATCAGCTGATTGCATCTGTTTGTTAGAATATCTTACTATTAAAAAATATATACTCTAGGCAATGTAGAAGTATGTTAAACTTGGTTTACTTGCTTCTACTCTTGACTAGACAAAACCATACACTCAATTCACATCACCCACTAATGTTAATACCTTAAACTGCTTGTGTATCCAAATGGGGTTAACCATTTCTTGCAGCGATAACCTGCTCTTATCTCCAGGAAATGGAGTCAGAGTTTCTTCATAAAATAATCCTGCTATGACGCAGCATGGTAACAGATTCACGGCATTTACATAAAGACTACCAGAAGGATTAGCTGTTGAGGGAGTCACAACTTGCCCATAACAGATATCTGGGGTTTTTTTCAAAATTCACTGGTCACTTTGAGCTGATGCTGTAGGTTTGTAGGTTCAGCTGCAAAAGGATGCTGCAGTGCCACCGCAACACTTCTGCTCCCTTGGTAGCCAAGAGGATCACTGCCATTGATTTAAATAAGAACAGATTTGGCAGCACAGCCAGTGTGGTCCCGTGCAGCTCTGTACTTGCAATCTTTTAAAGAAACTAGATAGCGTGTGGTAAGAATTGATCTTCTTGGGTGACTTTTACAGAATTCCTTCCTTCCACTAAGTCACTGCAATTTGAAAAATGATGGCATAGTAAACCAGTACACTGGAGTATATGCATCCCATTAAAAGCCCTTCAAAGAGTTTCAAATTAATTTATCCACACAGGTGCTACCCTGGTGACCTCAGCAATCACTTATGCTGACAGCACTTTCAAAGTTGAGTTTAGCTGGGGCCTTGAATCAAGTGTTCCCAGATTTTATACTGCTGCCAAGGATAAAAAAAATTTAAGAATTTCATTTAAAAAAAAAATCTCTTCCTAATTAAGAAAGCTATTTCAACAGGCAGTCAGAAAGCACAGGTATAAACAGAAAAGATTAAACTACAGACCTGGAATGCATGAGTTTTTCCTATATGGGATCAGGCATTTTAATCATTGCCTAAGGAAATCACTCTTCAATGGTGTTGAAGAACATAGGGTTATTCTTCACTAAATTTCATAAACTATGGTTTGGTAAGGGATGGACATAACAGCAAACGCCTCTCTGCAGGAGGCTCTGCATCAGCAGTGTAAAAGACTTGGTGTTGATAGCTTCACATCAACACCATCCACAAACTGGGAGTTTTCCTTCAGACTTGCTCTAACCCAGTTGGGTGAACTGAATGCCAGTCAACGACTGGAAGTCTGGAAGTGCACTCCTGGAGCACATTTCCCTGCTTCGCTTCATCCACGAGGAAACCAGTTTGCACACTCCAAGACCACTCTGCAATGCAAAACAAGTGCAGTAAATGGGAATAATTGGAAAATTCATTACAAAAGCATACTCCTGATGTAAGTGGAATGCTAACATAGACATACCAAGATATGAATATATATGACCATAGCAATATATGACCAAGGAGAGAAATTGCTCCTAACCCCTCTGATATTCTCAAAACAGAGCATATTTGCATGTAGTATAGTTGAGAGAGGGTTTACAGGCAGAAATAGTATTTTTTAAAATCAGATCAGCCAATACAGTTGGGAAAAAAATACTGAAAATACTAACACCTTAAATGTTTGATCAACATGAGCTGTACCTTTTTGATCACTTCTGTAGATTTGTTTCAAGACCCAGGAATGCTGACTGAACACTGTAAGAAGAGAAACAGCCCTGCGACAGAAAGCACTTGCTCTGCAGACAGCCACATGACATGCCTGTCAGTTGGCATGAGGAACCCCACACTGATTTTAGAGGACACGCAGTTCTTTGAACAGCTGAAGATGATCCACTGAGCCCTGCCAACCAGGTGTCCTCTCTTCCAGTTATGGGGACCATGGGAAGGGAGGGAAGAGAATTCCTGGGAGGTGACTGCTTCAGTTCACCAGGAACCCTTCTGTTCCTGGGAAATATTTTCTTTCCACATTGGGTGTAATGAAACTGCATTTACAAAAAAGAAGGCTGTCCCACACTGACTCTGCTTGTCTCCATAACAGGGCTGAAGCATCTGTTTCTCCCTGTTAACATGAGGCAAAGCAGAGCTGCCACACCATTGTAAGTATCCGTGCCATCTTGCTACCACATATGAGAACTGAAGGATTGTTGGCCCCATCTCATCACTCTAATTTCCAGAAATCATGTCTAAGCTTCTAAATGAAAATTAGGCATCCTGATACCTACATAGAGGAAGTCTTAGAGAGGAGCACAACAGGTACCAGAACAGTATGAAAAGCTGACATTATCTCTGATGCAATGAGATGTTTAAATGTTTTTTAAATCCTTAGAAGCATGGGATTAGCCTCCTTTTGAGGCTACAAAGTCTGGCCTCATTACAGGATGCTGATACTTAAACTGGCACCATCATTATGAAAGCAGATGAGGCCACAGAAGGCAGGGCCCTGAGGAAGAACCACAAATATGCTGAATCTTGAGAGTTAACTCTTGAGGGTTAAACTCTCACGTTTTAGAGATCTGCCTTTAAGTTAGGCAGCTCTGACTTCAGTGGAGTCCATATCTGTGTCAAGAAAAACAAGCGTTCATAATCTGTGAGACATGGTATTTATAAGTTTTAAGCACTGCACACATCAAGGATAAATCAGCTGGAAAGAGTCCAGACAAACAGCAATGACAGTAATCAGAGATCTATAAAGCAGGGAAGGCTTGAAGAAATTATTCCACTATATAACTCATAAAGTGACTGCACAATACTGAAAGTTGTAAAAGAATAAACGCAAAGTTCTGTTTAAGACAGAAAGCTTAATGAGCTTAACAGTTTTCAAAGGCTATACTGTTACTGTTTCTACACTCAGTTTTCTCAAGAAAGAACTTCAATGTCAGTCCTTCCTAGTCCTGTACAAAAATGGTGTTTACAGAAAGATATTTTTAAAATCCAGAACAATCCAAACAAATAATTTTCAATCCCTACAAAGACAATTCTTCTCTTTCCATTTGCAGATAAACTACCCTGCTAGCACAGTCTACCTCAGAAAACACAAAAGCATCAGTTGAACAGAAGTATTTTAATTTAAGCTGGCCACCTCTGAGAAATTCCAGAACAAATACACAGATTTAGCATAAAGTATCAAACAAGCTCTGGAATATCTAAGAAGTCCTGTCTCACACCAAAGTACAAACAAGCACCAGTGCTCATTGACCTATGATCTGCTTGTAGTTAAGAATTAGGCCGAATAAAAGAATGCTATTTCTTCCAAAACAAGAAAAAAAAAATCTTAGATTCCTTGTATATCACCAATACCTCTATGTCACAACAGAGCTGGCGATAAAGCCACAGCAGTTACTGAACTGAATTGCAGGATGAAGCATATGGGTTTCACTGGGGCGCTTTAACCTGTATGCAAGTACTACAGGACAAATCCTGTCCATACTAGACCCTCTGTCACAACCACAGTATATGTCATCCAACCACACTAACATGCTGTCCAGAAAGAAGGAATAAAACTATATCCCTGGATTTTATATACATATGCCATGCACACTTACTCTCTGAACTCAACATGTAGAGAAATTTCTTGCACTGTATTGATCCAAAAGCAGTCACTGCACAGTCCATCCAAAGACCTTCAGAAATCCAGTCTGCAGTAACTAGCATTGTTGCAGTGTCCAAAATCTTCCATCTGTTGGACATGGTAGTAACAAGTAAAATGGTGAATCCTGCTAAAGCCAGCAGCAATGCATAAATTTGCAGAGAAGACGATGCCATTCTTCTGACAGAAGCTGTTTTCAAAGAAGCCTCCCAAAATTTCTGATATTAGAAACCTGTTGAAACAGTTTATATACATACAGTATATGGAATTACCTTTACACAAGCCTGACCTTTACGAAAACATCAAAAAGACGCCTACCTACAAAACAGTTTATCACATAAGGGAATTGTAGAACTGGAATCTAAATCTCATTAAACAATTGGAATGCTTACATATTTTATGACATCTGAGTATTTTCTGAGGAACACTTTTATTACTGTACATGTTTACCACAAAAAATACCAACAGAGCAAAATCAGAGGCCCTAACTGAGGAATTATCTAATTTGAATTTGCAATGTTTCCTCCATTCTTTACTTGTTTGCAACTCAAAATTATTTTAAAATTAACATATCAAATGCTTTAATAAATTATTCATGTCCCAATTACAATACCTATCAATACAAATTAAAACAAAATAAAGTTTGATACTCACGTTTACGGTATGTTTCTAACCTGTTTCATCTACCTTCCTGCTAGACACTAGTGTCAGCACTTTGTGAGGACCAGTTTGATCAAACAAGTGAAAGCTTCGTACTCTTTAGGACCTTTCCCCCCATTCTAAAAATCAAGGACCTGGGGCCAAAGCTCTGCCCAACTGTTGCACAAAGGCTCAGGCAAGCCTTTTTGCTACAGCAAAGTGAAATGGACAACTCAAATAAGAAAATGACAACAAAATCATGTAAGTTAGTACCAGAGAAGCTCAGATTAACCTGGCAACCATTGGCATATCATTTGCTTTCCCTATAATGTGTGTATTCCACTATAAAAAGCTAATCTCACATTGAGGATGGAGCATTTCTCTCTCAAGAGATTGTATAACCTCTTCAAAACACACATAACTGTCAACAGAGAATATCTGAAATAAATGATAGATTTAAATTAAGCAACAAATTCAAGCAGACTTCACACCACATGGGCAGGCCAATAATCCAAATGAATGTTTCCACCTATTACATAGGTATGACCCATGCAATCACAATTCATTCCTGGCAGTAAGGAAAAGGAGATAAAACAATATGCTCTGCACCATCACTATGGGTAGGACATACGTCAAAGTTGTAAACACAAACTTCTCATTAAAATACAATAATTTAAAATATCCTAGGTTTCAAAGCGAAGAAGCTTGGAAACCAGATTTCACAAATACAGAGTAACAACCTTCCTCCACCCTGACGCAAATTCAACCATGTTATAGCAGGACTACAAATACCACTGTAAGAATCCTTCTCCTACCCTTAAAATGACTGTCCTGTACTAATGCACCTGTTAGAGATGATACAACATGCATGAGCTCCTCACTGTGGGTGAGTCTCCTCAACAGAAAGGTGCACATGTGGTGACAATCTGACTCTAGATGGTGACATTTCAATTCAACATCCAGGGAGATGTAAAGTGGCAAGAAGAATACAATGGACCAACTGAAAGCTGTTTTATTTTCCAGATCTTCTTAAGACAAGCATGCAAAGAAAATCTTTACTACTTAGAAAACAAAGCATGCAGTCCTGGTATTTGAATCCTTAGGGGCCAGGCAGTGGGTCTGATGTCTCAGTGAGGATTGGGAGCCTGGTGATGGGTCTTATATCAATAGGCCACACAAGGCAGAAGCAGAGCACCCTAAAGCCTCTCCTGAAATGCACAACTCCAGTGAGTAAAACAAGGGCCAGTGGAAAAAAAAAAACAAAAACAAAAACCCACAAAACGGGGAGGGGGGGCTCTGTGCTTGTTTAAAAAAAATCCATTTTCTTTATATTTCCCTGGCAGCATTTAAGGCCTGCAATCAGTAATCAGTGCAGACTGACAACCGTCCAGTGGATCACATTAACAAACAAAGCTGTTTGTGATTTCAGACATGCCCCAGGGCAGAACAGACCTCCCTGGCTCCTGGCAGAAGGAGGTCTGCAGCCCAGAATGGCTCTGCAACCATTTTGCTGCTGTTATTCCTCCTTTCCATGTCTTCCTCTGCCCCAAGGAGCCACTCTCACTCATCCCTTCCTGACCCTGCTGCTACTACGCAAAACCCATGGGACAGTCCAGACGATACTTTATTCCTTCTGGGCCACCAGCAATGCACAAGACTGCAGTCCCTATTGCGATGGCGGTGCTGATTTCTTACCTCTTCTAGTTTTAACAATAAAAGTAATGCCACCAAAATGCATTGCTTTAACAGGGTAAGAGTTTGCTAATAGAAACCATCTGCAAAAGACAAGATTTCAAAAACAAAGAGCTTGTTACTTCAACCAACACCACATCCATCCTCCTCTTTCAACCTGTACCACGTACACCCTGCCCTTCAGGACTTGATTGTACTTGCTGCCATACACTGTCACTGTTTGTAGATTTGAGATGATGGCACAACTAATAGCAAATATGCTTTGCAGCTGTCCAAAGTAGAATAACCATAAACTAAAATCAAATAAATGCGTAAAGCCCAGAGCATCATCCCTCGCAAACTGCACACATAGGCTATATACAACTAAGAACCGTACTGTGATAAAAACAAGCCCTGGGGGAGCAAAAAGATCAGCTAACATTAAAAACAGCACAGCCAAAATATATGTGGTTTGAACACAGGACAGGAAAGGTTAACAAAGAAAAATATTTAAGTCACTTAAACAAACAAATCACTCCTGATATGCTCTCTGGAAGCAAAAATGAGTGATAAAAGTGTCTAAACTGGAAAGTTAAAAAACTCTTTTACTTCTTTTTCATTTTGTTAACCAGAAAAACAGAGACAGAGCATTGATTACAAGACTGGTTTCATTTACATATAAATGTATACATTTTAATGCCAGCAATATATGACTTTGAACCTGCTAATCATTTCTTAGTTCAAGCAAATTCTGAGGCTGAGCCATGCCCACCAGTGCAATCAGAAAGAGATAAAGTAGAGATTTAAATACAGTAATAAACCACTCAGAACAGTCTCCCACCACAGGCTTACACAGGTTTCCTGAGGTCAGAGTCTGGCCTTGGGAAGGCAAACTCTTTCACTACTTGTTAAAAAAAAAAAACAAACAAAAAAACCCAACAATAGTTCATTTCCTCTCCACTTCCAAACAATTTGACTTTGTAACTGTGCTCCTGAAGCTGGTGTAACTTATTAATAGTCTAATCAGGCTTATAGCCACTTGCAATTACAATATACAAATCATTCTTATCTTGCTATTAACTTTCCCTTCACACAATGAACTAAAGAATAATTTGGTTTGGAAGGGACCACATTGACGCCAACCTCCTACTGAAGCACAGCTTCGATGTTGGGTCAGGTCGCCCAAGCCCTGTCCAGTCACAACGGAGTGGCCTCCAGGGCTGGGGACAACACAACCACTCTCCTGTGGAGTGTGTTCCTCACACCCACGCAGAACTTGTCCTGCTGCAACACGTGGCTGCTGCCTCTCATCTTCCCCACGCACCTCTGAGATAAACCGCTGCTTGTCCAGTGGCTTGATTTTGGCAGCTCTGCACTCTGATCTCTGGAGGCCCAGGCATGACTGGCTGTCCCATTAGTATCTCCACAGCACCACAGATAACCGGAAAGGTGCATACAAATTCTTGAAACTTAAAAATTACAAGTTATTTTCAAAGCCAATACACCTATTTTCTTTTTCCATTTAATTTCAGGAGGCCCTTGGTGTTTACAGCATTAGCTGGGCGGTGACTGCTCTCTGCCAGCAAGCCGCCTCACCAGCCCAGCTGGCAGCCGCCTGGCCGCACCGCCAGCATGAAGATCACACCGTGAAGAGCAGCACAGTGCCGGAGACCGGGAGCCCTGGCCAGCAGCCAGGGGACCAGAGGGCACCTGACTCGGGCAAGGGTGAGCATGGCGAAGAGGCCCGAGAGGAGGCTGCAGGGCAGCAGCGGCTGCCTTGCGCCTGGTTAGCCACGCACAGCCCTTCGCTCGAGCAGCCCGGTGGTGAGGCGAGGTGAGGCAGGGTGGAGGAGCCAGGTAAGGTGGTGAGGCGTGGTGAAGTGGAGCCACGTGGTGGAGAAAGGCAAGGCTGAGGCAGCAGCCTCGGCCTCCTCCCTGCTTCTTCCACTGCGGCCGGCTGAGCCTTAGGGTAGGAGGAGACAGGCTCTCCCTATTCCGGGAGGTTTCTAGTGAAAAGAATATATTAAACCCATGGAAGCCTCCAACTATATGGCGCAAGCGCTACTCGCCAAGGGAGCCCGGGAGCTAAAGGAGCTGCCACGCTCATCATGGCGGCCAAAGGGGCCGCGCGCGCCCCGCCGCGCCATTCCCACTATGGCGGGGCAGAGCCGGGACGACCCTCTCGACATGGCGGCCGGGGCAGGACGTGGGCGGACGCGACCCGGCGGCCGGCAGCAGCCGCGGCGCTGCCAGAAATGCCCCCCCCC